GCAGATCCCAAGTGGTGACATCTCCAGCATGGCCCCTGGGTCAGCTGTGCTAAAGCCAATGTCCTGCTTTTTGTAAAGAGGGAGGAGAAAGTCTCCTCCAAAGTACCTCCTCTGGATGTATCTGCTGCTGCTTCCTCGCTAAACCCTCGTGCTTTGTCGGAGGACCAGGAAGAGGCGATGCAGAAAGCTGCACCGTGATGGTTTCCCTCAGCTCCAGTGACTGTATGCTGCGAGGGACTGGTGGAGCCGAGGCAGGGCCGGCTGACTGGGAACGCTGTTCCCAGTGCGAGGCGGGTGACTCTCCCCAGCTGTGTCTGCGGAACACCAGGGCTCAAAGGGGGAGCTGGTGTTCTACAGCTGGAAGTCTTTCGGGGTAAATAGGCTGAGAAAACAACAACTCATGGTTTGCTCATGTGGGAGCTGATCAGGGAGTAACGAAAGATGCTAAACACAGGGTGGCTGCGAGGCAGATTCCCATTCCCACATGTTGTAACAAATGGGCTGCAGCTGGGATTGGGCACTTGGCCACGGCAGGGGCAGCAGGCATCCTGGGGGACAATGTCCTCCGGGTGGGTTTTTTGCAAATAGACCCTGCGAGCGGTGTGTGAGTGCTGTGGGCTCTTGCCTCCTGCCTGGGATAAGAGCAGGTAAGAGCTCGTTTCCATGTTGTCCCGTGAGCTTTGGCAGAGCTCAGTGCTGTCACGTTAGTGCTGCCTCTGGCACTCGGGGGCACTTTTGAACGTTGGTTCAGTGCTTCAGGCAGTGCAGACGTGGCCATGGCAGTGCTGTCATACCCACTGTGCCACGTTTGTGTAAGCGAGAGGTTGTGTCCTTAAAAGCTTGCAATAAAAATACATCAAATGCAGAGGTGGAGGATGGTTGTTACTGTTTTCTAAAAGCATTAAACTGTGATCCACATCTGAGATAGGTCAAACCTCCAAAGCACCATCCTCTTCCTTCTCTGTAGAGGACCGTTTTGCCAAGTTTTGAGTCACACAGATCTTCTAAATTCACATTTGGCTCAAAATCAAATGCTGTTCACACCACGCAGCGTAGAAAAGGAAGCAGATCTGGTGAAGGAGCAGAGGAGTCTTACAGGAACAATGTAATGGAACAGGGATGGACTGAAGGTCGTAGTGAGTAACAACAGGGAAAGGACTCTCTTTCCTTGTCTCCTTCCTTCCTTGTTTCCTTCTTTCTGAAATCATGGCTGTTGATAACCTGCCATAGGACATAAACTCATCTCGGGGAAGGGAGAAGCAGTAGCAGTAACATTAACTGCTCCTGCCCTCCCACGTCCCTGAGGAAGAGGAGTGTAGGGATGCCCACACCAGCATCTCCTCCTCTGTCCCCAGCCCCTTGTCTTTTGAACAAGAAAGGTCAATTTTGTCTATGCCACAGGAAAACCTGAGCCCACTGTGGTTCTTTGGGTGAAGTTTTGGGAGGAAACAAAGATATGTAAATTTGAGCTAGTTTCTGAAGCCGAGAGGCAAAAGGATCTCTGTTTTTTTTTGCCTTTTTCTAATGGGAACGGATGTAATTGTTAGCTGCAAAGATGGGAAGAAAAAAAAATGGAGGGAGCAAGGGACCAGAGGTCCTTTAAAATACTGTCAAATGATGAACTGGAGAGCTGAGGGCAACATTAACAAGAAGTAAGGTCAAATTTTGCCCTCTTAGCTTTCAGGAAATTATCTTGGGGGAGATTTTGAAATTCAGACATGGTTTTATCATTTGTAATTGTTTGGAAGTTTCCCTAAGCATGTCTTTCTGCACTGAGAGCTCTGGCACTTGCAACACATTGGTGCCAACAGTCAGTGCTGTGCTGTGTTGGCTGTTGAATGAATACTGTGATTTTTATATACTGCATAAAGATATAGGATGAGCTTTGTATAAATGTGGACAAGACATTCAATATTTCAATCTAATAAAATTTTCTTATTTTCCTTTTGGTTCATTAATCAGGAAGGAACATAAGCACAGGCACTGTTTCAAGCAGATGGTGGCTTTCCAGGAATTTTGGAATGTTTTTCTGAATTGAGTCCCAAGATAGCATTTGAGCAGGCTGGCTTTCTGTGACTCAGTTTCCCTATCTGTGTAAGCAGAGAGTATTAATGTCCCTTGTAAGGCACCTGAGGTTTGGTGGTGATAGAAGTGCTATTAAGTACTGTTTTGTTCACTGCCTGCACTTGGAAAACAGAGCCCGTGGATGTGGCAGCAGATGGGGGTAGGAAGGAGAGAGCATCTGTGGTCGTTTGGAGGAATCACCTGCATGTGTTGTATGGCTGGAATATACATGTGGTTGTTAAAATGTGGCTTTGTGTCTTTATGTAGCTGAATGTGGTTCATCTGTAACTGGAACCCAAGGTGTCCTGCTGTCCCCCAACTATCCGTTAAACTATAACAACAACCACGAGTGCATCTACTCCATCCAGACCCAGCCAGGAAAGGGGATCCAGCTGAAAGCCAGGACTTTTGAACTGGAGGCAGGAGATGTCCTCAAGGTAATTCTTCTGTCTGTACCGATGAAGCACTTCTGTGCTGCTAATGAGAGCAAGATCTGAAAGGGAAGTGGTGTTCTAAAATTTTAATGGAGTTGGCTGAGACTAACCTCTGGAAAATGCCCCTTGGGTCCAGACAGTGCCATGGTAACCTCTGGAAGAGACTCACAGTAGGACTACTAGTGACCAGTGGTCACTGAGCGAGCGGCACGGCCGCTTTGAAGAGCACAGCAACATTCCTGTGGACCAGACTGAGCTTCAGGCCAGGCTGGTGTCTATGTGTGACCCCTCTAACGTCAGAGCCAGACATGAGACATCATACCTCTGTGGAACACACCTCCTAGCCCAGGGACACGTCTGATCAGCCTGTCCACCCGCTGGGCAGTAGTTTGCTGTGCTCAGGAACAACAGAGCGTGTGATTTTAGGGAATCAGCACCTCTGGACTTCACCAGCTCGTAGCAGTCGCTGGCAGAAGCACGGAGGCAATAGTGAATGTGCTTTGCACTTCAGCCTAGTTGCTTACTTGAGGCTTCAGTCTGCAGAGGGATGCGTAAACAAATGCTGTGTCTGTTAAAAATGTAGATAGCTTTGCCATATCCGTGCCCCTTCTGCTGTGAAGTCTTCTCTGAGATACAGAAATCTGTTGGAGTGCCAGAGGTTCTTCCTTTGTAGCTAAACCTCAGTTCTTATCTGCATAGTTGTACGAGGGAAACTGTTCACACATCGGGAAGTGTGAAGTTCTTAACGTTATTTTTGTGGTTTTTAAGAATCAAGGCTGATTTGTCCCAAAAAGGGGTCTATTTAAATGCAGAACTCCAGACTCAAGCTCTTCAACGTTCCCGTACTCAGTCTTAGATTAATCTGCATTTACAAGTTTCAGGACTCTCTATAGAAGGAGACAAATCCAGGCTGAGTTTCTATTAACCACAAAGAAATGGTTTTGTAGGAGGCATTAATATTACAAGATGTGTGCTGCCGCGCTGAGCCATCTTCCCAGAGAACCCTGTCCTTGCCGAAGTGCCGTACTTCTGCCTGCGAGATGGGTGTAATCCACATATTTTCAGCTCACAAATGACTGGAAAGAGAGCAAGATTTGCAGTTAATGCAAAGAGTGTGCTCATCGTGAAAGAAATGATGTTCTCTCAATAGGTTTGTCATCAACTTCTCATCTGCTCCTGAAGAAAGTTGCTATCAATCTCCAGTAGTGAGAAGTTGCTCTTCTATCCTCATAGAGTCATGCTGGCTAAAAGAAATGGGGGGAAAAAAAAAAATATGTTTTTCTTAAATAGTAGCGAGGACAAGGCACATCTGTGAGTCATTGTAGGGAGAAAATGTTTTTCCCAGGAGCTGTACCTTTGGAAAGAGAGCTCAGTTCAGGAAACACAGCCTTGAGTGCAGCATGAGCTCAGGTGTAGGAGGACATGGATCCCCCAGGGTCGGAGTCCTGCTCCTCAGGTGAGCACCATTGTGAAGTCTCATCGAGTCAATCTTAGTTGGGATAATTTCTCTGGCTTCAGAGGAACTATCCGTTCACATTCCTGGATATTTGGTCCCATGTAGCAAACAAAATATGTTTTCCAGTGTGTGTTTCTTGTTCCTTGCAGATCTATGATGGCAGCAACAGCTCTGCTCGTCTGCTGGGCTCCTTCAGCCGCTCCGAGATGCTGGGCACCAGCATCAACAGCACTTCCAGCAGCATGTGGCTTGAGTTCATCACCAACAGCGAGAACACGAGTAAAGGCTTTGAGCTGCAGTTTTCCAGTAAGTCTTAGGCCCGTGTGCTTGTGAGGTGGGATTTTTGTGATACAGTCACATGCCCAGAGGAAGCAGTCCGTTCCGTAAAGATTTTGTAGTCTAAAATGGAATCGGAGTCGGGAGGTGATGATCCCAGCAAACCTTTTCTGTTGTGAATGAGGCAGCGGTGATACAGGAACTCGGGATCGAAGCTGAGATACCAGATTTCTGGGATCTCGTTCAAATACTAATTAGAAAAATATTCATTTTCAATATGGTGTGTTTTCTCTCCAGCAAACGATTTTAAGAAGAAAAATATTAGCATGATCCTATATTAGTATCTCCTGGCTGTCAAATATCTGAGGAAAACAGATGCTGTTTCTCCCGCTCCAGGTTTTGAACTCATTAAATGCGAGGACCCCGGCATCCCCCAGTTTGGCTACAAGGTCCATGATGAGGGCCACTTCGCTGGCAGCTCCGTGTCCTTCAGCTGCGACCCCGGCTACACCCTGCGAGGCAGCAGGGTGCTGGTCTGCCTGACCGGGGAGCGGAGAGCGTGGGATCAGCCCCTGCCCACCTGCGTGGGTGAGACAACTCTTGCTTCTAAACCATCCTCTGACAAGTATTTTGCTTATGGGCATCACTCTGAGCCCCCTTTCTTCCTCCTTTGCTAATATGTGTCAACTCTGATACTGGTTGCAGCATTAATACAGACAGACACCTGTAGCTCTCTGGAAGGACATCTTCTTGCTTGGAAAACTCCAATATTAAGTTTTGTGTGTCTAAATGAAGTGCTGTTGGTCTGTTACTTGACAACTTCGTAATCAGCTGATGTTTCCAGGACATGGTGAAGTTCTGAGAGATGTCAGCAGGGCTCTTCCACGGTTAGGAGTGATGTGCTCAGACATCAGCACTCTGAATTCTCCCAGGAGTTAGGACCATTCTTTCTGTGGTAACTCTCTGCTGAATTTTAGCCTTGTTGAGGTAAAAAGACAAATTTCTGTGATTCGTGCATCTTAACCTTTACCCTGTTTGCTATACGTACGTTACACATGAGTGGTTGTGTCTGAGCACGTGGAAACTTGCAGAATTTTGATGGCTACATTATGAAAACATCTTCAAAATCCTCACGTTCAGTTAGCGGATACATATGTTTGTTGGCATCTTCGTTTCATCACACTGATGGAGCGTTCAGACTTTTTGCAGATACAGGGAGAAGAATTGAGCTCTTTCACCCCCCGTGTGTGAGTCGGGTACAGCAGGATGCTGGCAGGCTCTGCCTTTACTTACTACAAAGTCAAAAACATGGAGGGAAGCTTTGACAGCGTGTCGGATGTTAGGAATGTGCACGGAAGTGCAGAGTTATTCTGATAGCTCAGTCTTTTAGCTGAATTAAATTACTCTCTTTATTCTTTCTTTTGTAGGCTTTAAGAATCTCTTTAAATGACAAGAAATACTCCCTGTTGTATTCGTAGGATGAGATTTGCATTGTTGCCAAGCAAGAACCGTAATATGTCGTGAATTTTCTCACTAACCCATATGTTTCTTTCAGCTGAGTGTGGGGGTACCATCAGAGGAGAGTCGTCGGGACGGATCCTGTCTCCCGGCTACCCGACACCCTACGATCACAATCTGAATTGCATCTGGACAATAGAGGCAGAAGCTGGTTGCACGATAGGGTGAGTTGGGCCAGGTTATAGTAACTTGGTTTTCTTTCCATGTACAGCTTATTTTTCCAGAAGTAGATGAGTAATTATGTAAGGCAAGTAGAGAGAAAGTCCCAAACGAAGGAACCAACGCTGGTTTATCTCCTTGCCAGGTTGGACAGAAGCAGCATCACTTCTTTCTTTAAAGCTTTTCAGCCCCATATGGCCTGTGCCAGTAAGAGCTATTGTGGTGACACCAGATTATTTGCTATTGCTGCCTGTGGTATTACTGTATTAAAATAACATCCAAGAGCTTTTATGTGCATGTGCAGTGTAAGTGGTTTTCACCCCTTTGCTTAATGGGATATGTTCATAAACAAACCTTTTCCACCACATCAGCGTTGAATTTCCCAACAAATGTTTAACGTGTCCAAGTGACATAATGCTAAAATGAGGACACACATAAAAAATTGCTTGGAAGATCACATCCCAGGAAAGGCTAATGAGAGGCAATTACAGGTTTGGCTCATCTCCCATCCATGTTGCCAGAGAAAATGAACCCTGAAAGGGATGAGCTCTGGCACGTTAACGTTTGTGAGAACGGATGGTCAGGTGTGAGGGTCCCCAGGTGTGAGCAGAAAGCTGGGACCACAGCACTGGAACTTCCCTCCTGCATCAGCACTCATCAGCGTTTCGGCGGAGACTTAATCGCGTTGAGCTCTGTGGTGCTCTTAGTCACTGCATTTCTGCTGGAGATAGATTTGGTCCAGTGTTTTCACTTTTACTTAATGCAGAATTTCCCTCCATTAGCTCCGCTCTTCACTGCGGTTCAATAATGGATGGGTTTTGCTGCGAACACAGGAGAAGGAGCGTAGCCAGTGCAGCTTAATTCCTGCACAGGCAACTTCCAGTTGTATCTCCTCTTTTTTTCTTCATTCTTCTGTAGAAGATTCTGAAGAATCCAAAGATTTTTATAGGACCAAGTAGACACGAGACCTCCTTTTCCCTCCCCCCTTGGACCTCCCCCAAAAGTGTAAGAGACTGCCTAATCCAGGGACTGCTTCAGTGAGTGAACTTTACTCGCACACGTAATCCCTGTCTGCTTCTGTAAGAGTACTCAAAGGAGCAGAGCTATGGGCTGGTGTTTGCAGGAGCAGCCAGAGGCTTGGTCGGGGCCAGGACTGGAAGGGACCGATGCCAGGCAGCAGTAGGATGATACACCTTGTGACCTTTCCTTTCATCAGAGATGAAAGTTCCCTTCTTCTGTTCCTTTATTTGGCAGCTCAGACAGAACAGATGATCTCTGGGTAGTTGAGAGAGCACGTTTTCAGTGACTTCATTTTTATGGTAATCCGTTGGAAAAATAACCCTCTTCACGCATGATACAATTGTATAAAGCTCTCATTTATAACTTGCATTAAAATTAATCACCAAAGCTTTTTGAATAAAGCTGTGTCTGCACAGAATGAGGGGAAGGAGAGGAAGGAAAGATAGAAAAATTAGCCTGTACATCATTGCCACGAAAGTGGAAGGGTTGGACTTTGAGAGGAGATTAATTTCCTGCATGTGCAAACACACGCATGCACATGAAATTACAGCTAAAATGTCTTGTCTTCTCTGTGAGATGGTGGGGAGGGAAAGAAGTGTGGGGGGGTACTGGAGAATGAAGAAAACTTGAGCAGCTGAGAGCAGTGAGTACACGGCTAGAAGTGGCGTTGTATTGTGTAGCAGTGATCTCGGTGTCGTAAGAGAGTTTAATGGAATTGCTAATCCTCGTTTAATGGATGATGCTGTATTGACAGGTCCCATTTTTCACAGTCACGTGTAGAAATATGAGCGCGAATATTGGGACGTTCCAGTTTGCTTCCTTGGAGATTTCTAGGGACATAACATTTAATAGGTTTTAAGTTGGGGAGCTGGAGGCAGACAGTGGGCAGCCCTGCAAGCTGCTGGTGCTGAGAGACCCACGGCTTTGGTGCCAGCTTGGTGGGCATCACTGACGTGGTAAGCTTGGTGGGCATCGCTGGTGTGGCAGCGGGGTTCGGCGGCTGGAGCCAGTGCCCAGTGGGAGTCCAGGGTGGGGTGGCCAGAGCTTGGAGGGGAAACAGCAGCAGAAAGAGCCCCAGGTTGGTCGGTGAAGATGCAGAGGTGCCTTCTGAAGGGCTGGGGCTCTGTGGCTCACCCAAGGTGATGCGGGTTGTCAGTGCAGGGTTGGTCTCTCCTCCTCTCTGCTCCTTGCAAAGCTGGGAGAAATTTCCCTCTTATCACATAAATATATACCCACAATTCCCAATTTGCTTTTTGCTGCGTTTTCATGTGTGTAATTGGGATTGTCCAACTGCGAGAATAAAACTCTCTTCCTCTCCATTGTCTGCTAAACCAGTGTCCCTGTCTTGTCTTAAACAAAGCCCTGCTGGGAATAGAATCAGCCTGAGAGAAGGAAATTGTGCTGTTTGGTTACACGTGTGCCTGTTGATGGAATAGATTGATGTGCTCCAGAGCATACCAGTTTTCTTAATAAAATCAGCTGAACAGATTCCTGAACCAGCTGGTGTTGGACAACCTGTGCCTCACCACTGGGTCACGCTTCGGCTTTCTCCTCGTGCTGGAGCCTGGAAGTTGTTTCTTAAAAATAACAAGGGAAGCGAGTTGCTGTGGGCAGCCAGAGCTGAGCTGTCCCAGGCAGAGGCAGTTTCAGGGTGTCCCCTGCCCCAGGTCAGTCTCTGCCACCATCTCCCCATTTCCGAGATCTTCAGCAATGAGTTTTCTCCAGTAGTTTTGGCTGGAACCAGTTACCCCGAGAGCAAACATCATCAGGCCAACGCACCCGTGGAGAGCAGCGCTGCTACGATCCGTTCTTATTTTTCTCGAGTTTAGCTTTTCCTCTCTTTGCTCAAGGTCTCTGCTAGTTAAATTTATGATTCAGCTTTTTTGGGATTCTGTTGGATTCTGTGGACATCGTTTAGTTGCTGAGTACATTGCAGTGGTTTGGGATTTTTTTTTTTGTTTTTTTTTTACCCTTGCATGGTTCTACCTGATTTATTTATGTTTGCCTCGGATAAATGGGAAGGCAGCCAAGTGAACGCTTCCTTGTTTTCCTCTGTGGGCTGTCAGGGTTTTAAGCCCAGTACCTGATTGTTTTATTTCCTGCAGATTTTTCGCAGTACAGTTTATAGATTTCTGTCCCCGTTTCTAACTGGTGTGCCTCGAGTTACCCTGTGTTGGCTGGATTTCGTTGTCAGGTGGCATTTCCCTGGTGATAATGTGGTGATGAGAAACGGAGGCAATTAAATGCCTCCTCTTCAGCTGGCGTTTTGAGTGCAGGAGAGCAAGGGACTGAGCCCTGATGTATCACAGCCTTTACTCAATAACTCCCTTGGGTGTAACAACAGCAACGGCAGCGTCTTGTGCTTCAATGGTACTTTTGATCTTGGAAGATCCCAAAGCTCTTGGCAAAGTCTGGATTTGTCTGCTCCACATCCTTCCACAGCAGAGGATGGGCTGGGGGGGCAGAAGTGCAGTGCCATATATCCCCCCTAGCCCAGGGTGGGAAGAGAGGAGCATCTCTTCAGGGGTTGATGTTGGGTCCAAGTTTGTCTGGTTCCCGAGTGCCACTAAGCCTCTACTGGGCATGGAGGGAACGTCTGGCCTTCTCCCATCCCCGTAGGTCCATCGCTCCGGAGTGAATTCCCTCACCGTGATGACTCCCGCCAGCATCTCGGGCTTTCCCTGGGGAATTTTCGGTGGCAGAGCCGAGCAGGCACAGCCCTGGTTTGGTTGAGAGCCCTCTCGCCAGGGCAGGCAGAACTGTAAAATACAGAGTGAGAAAACGAGATCTGCCTTCAGAGCATCGTGATGAGCAGCTCGCTGAGAGCACGGTGCCACTTCAGTGCCAGCCACCAGTTCCTTAATTCCTGTTTTCTCCTCTTCCTATTGTGGATTTTGGAGCTGGCTTGTGCTGCCTCACTTTTCCTTTATTTCTTGCTGGAGATATCCTGTTAGCTGATCTAGAGACAGTCCTGCAATATCCAGAACTTTGTAAAACATGGCAAAGTCCTTTCCAGTATCAGCCACTTCGGAGTTGCTGCAATCCCACGTTCAGAATTTCACCCACCTGTTTGCCCCTTTCCTACACACCCTTTTCTGCCCCATTTTATTAACCTCCAGGACAGCTGATACCTTGGGTAATGATTTCTTTTCCAGCATGATGCTCTTTTAAATAAGAGTGGTACTGGTTGTTTCCTTTCCTTTTTGTCCCCCGGTACGCAAGATTAGCTTGGTGCCAGGAGCAAATTCTTTGATCTGAGCGCAGGTAACAAAAATCAATGTATTTTATCAGCAGATGCTGGCCCCTGACAATAAGCTGTTCCTTGCAGGACACCAAAAAAAAGCAAAAGGACAGCCAAGGTTGTTGCCATGTGCGACATAGGGCCAATGTGTGAATTGGATGAATGTATGTACTTTGTCTTAAGGGACCCCAGCACGTTTCCTGCTAATCCTCTTTTTAGAATAAGTTTCTCAGTATCTCTGTGTTTGTCTGTTACAGAGCTCAGTCAAAGTACGGACAAACCCTCCTCCTCCCCTTCCCAGCCCTGAACGTGTCTGCTGCAGGTTTCCTGTATGTCCTTGACTGAGCCTTTTGTCTGTGACAGCTACTCATTGCAAAGTCTGAGCACCTTTGGTGTAAAACCAGCTGTGATACTCTGGCTGGAGACATTTCCACTGCCCACAATAGGCTTTTGGACCTTTATCTTGTTCCTTGAGATTTTTGGGAGAGATGAGTAATTTCATTCACTCGGGAGAGAAAACCAGAAAGCAGTAGTGTCCGTGGCTCGGCTGGTTCTGATCATGGGTGTGTTTTATTAGGGAGGCATGCAACTAGGAGATCTTGGGTTTTATAGACAGACCAAGTTTGGTAGAGGACTAAAGTACCAAGTTTGGTAGAGGACTAAAGTACCTTGTCCAAGCTGAGCTGCAGATAACAGGAGAGAACGCATTCCCTGTGGGCCAAGCTGCTTTGGGTTGATACCAATCAAGTTTCTAATCCCTTCAGGAAAAAGGCAGAGCTCAGTTTGTGGTCTGATTTCCAGTTCATTTTGCCACACAGGCTCCATTTCATGGTTTTCCACACCGAGGAGTTCCACGATGTGCTGAGGATCTGGGATGGTCCGGTGGAGAACGGCATCCTGCTAAAGGAGATGAGCGGGTCCGGCTTACCCAGCGATGTCCACAGTACTTTCAACTCCGTCATCCTTCAGTTCAACACTGACTTCTTCACCAGCAAGCAGGGCTTTGCTGTTCAGTTTTCAGGTAGGCTTTACGTTGTTTCCTCAGCGTTGTCCGAGCCTGGCTTTGCTGATAAGTGGCGTCAGGTCTGTCTGCAAACCACTGATGGAGAGCGAATGACTCTGTTGAACTCGACAGCAGCAGCTGTGCCGTCTTCCAGCCGTTTGTGCTCTGCTGCGTTGGGGCACTCTCTGCAAATAGAGAACAACTCTTGTCTTTTGTCCTTGCAATGCAGGTGGGTTCTGTGCTCCCCTCTGCTATAGTCACCTTCACAGTGGTGAACGTGGCAGCAAGATGTAGGGCAGTCCATAGTGAAATACACAGGCAGGAATTACAGATATTTTCCACCACGTTCCCACAGGTCCCTTAGAGAGACCCCGGTATGGAGGTGACTTCTCCCAGGTGATCTGAGAGCAGTTAGTCAGTGGTCTCTGAAAACCAGGTGTATTTAAAATCCCTCAAATTGGATCCCCTGAGATGCAGATCACAAAAAGCTCTGTCGGCTGTAGGGATGTCATTGCTTGCAGCAACTGCAGTCTGTCACTGCCCAAGTCCTGGCTGCTGTTACCCAAGACTCGGCCTTGCAAACACATTAATTTTGATTATACTGGGATAATGTATTTCAGCCTTCACACAGCTTCCCGAGATGCAGGCTTTCACTGACACGTCCAGTAACCAACCAGCAGATGCCTGGTTTGGAGATGGTAGTGAACCGGGAGGCTGTTGGGTGAATGATGATGTGACCTCCCTGGGACTCAGACATGTCTAAGCATCAGAGCTCCTCCTGTCTCTCCCAGTTTTTGCCTGTAACTTTCTGTTTGGGGTGCTTTGTGTGGCCAGGAGAGCAGGTCAGCTCTTTGGGAGAGTTTGTGCTGGGTACGAGGTGTCCCGGGGTGACCAAGACAGAGGGAGAGCTTTGTGTCACCCAGCACAGCTCTGCCATCCTCTTTCTTTGCCAGGCTTGTGTCTCACCAGCCAGGAAGGACCAGGCTGGGCTGCTCTAACTTGCTTATCACCAAGTGCACAGAAAGAGAAAGGGATTTCCTCTGGCTCTCTTAAGAAGAGCTTTCCTAAACTGCCTAGGTGTGATAGACTCCTGTCACCTTGGCAGGAAATAAGCTCTGCTCCTCTGCCTGATACAGGGCTGCTCTGTACTGAATGCCCCTGCTCAAAGCCTTTGCTCACGAGGTGTGACTAAGGAGTCCGACCTAAGCTCAGGAGTACACAGTTTTGGATCTTGTGAACTTTAATGATCTATATAAGCTCGCAGAACTTCTGTCACTGCAGGACTTTCCCTGGTGCTAAGTCGTTGTAGCGTTGGCAGAGCTGGCACTGGCTCGGCAGCGGAGCGGTGCCGCTGCCCCTGGCTGAGGGGGTGCCAGGGGGTCATCCCGGAGCTTGATGGGACGCAGTGGTGGGACCGGGAGGGAAGCACGTGTGTTTCTAAAAGGTCAGGCTTGATACTTCCCGAGGCTAAAGGCTAAACTGCTGTGCCACTCAGGGGAAGTGGAAAGCGCCAGCGGATTAGTTTATTTTGCAGCGTGTCTGACATGGAATTCTATAAAAATGCCATGTAAGATCAATGGATGTCCGGAGTTATTAAGTAAACATGCGTGTGCACAATTACACATCAGACTTGCAGCCTGGGTAGTGCACTTGAACTTGCTGTTCCCCAGAGCCTTTACCAGCTGGAGTGGCAGATGCTCCGTGCAAAGCAAAAGGCAGTTTTCATGCGTGTGGCAGCTTTTAAGGGATACTGAAGGAGGAGAGATGGAGGATGAAGTCCTTGCTTGGATATCTGTTTAAGGACAGAGTCTAAGTACAGCCAGTGCTGTCAGCCTGTGTTAAATATAAATATATATAAAATACGTATTTTTGATACTCTTCAGTTTCCACTGCCACTTCCTGCAACGACCCAGGGATTCCCCAGAACGGGAGCCGGAGTGGTGACAGCAAAGAGGCAGGTGACTCCATCATCTTCCAGTGTAATCCAGGATACGCTCTGCAAGGGGAGGCCAAAATCACTTGTGTGCAGATCGAGAACAGGTTTTTCTGGCAACCAGACCCTCCCTCCTGCACAGGTATGAACACGCATCCGTCATCCCATTGCACTGGCTTCCCTGCCCTGTTTCGTTGCAAGATTCTGTATCTGAAGGGGATGAGCCCACCCAGTCTGAAGAGGTGTATGACAGGGAATTTGTGTCTCGGGTAGCTGTCTTACAGAACCACTTTTTGGGTTTATCCCCATAGTGTGTGGGACAATGAGAATCTAGTTCATGCTGGAAGCTCATAGCACGTGCTGCAGTGTAAGTGATGATATTTAACCTGACATGTCAAATTTAAAGGCTTCTTTAAAACTCAGGTTGGTAGAGAGGGTTTGGGGTCGGGGTGAATAATTTCTGCATGAGGAGACAGCAAATTCTGTCACGAGAAAGAACTATCTGACATTTTCTTTGAGCTCGTAAAGTAATAAAAGAAGCTCGTAAAAATGATTCTTTTTAATATGTCTGGAACACATAAAAGTAGTCATGCTAAGCACATAAGAGCAATAATCATCAAATTTGCTGGCCAATTAAATGCTAGCCACAAATGACTTACTTGTAACCTTCACTCCTGTTTATGCGCTGTTATCCTAAGTAAGAAAAATCAATTAATTCTGTTTCTAACATCTGATTTAATGCCAGCTAGGAAACTTCTACACCACGCAAAGGATTTGTGCTCCTTGCAGGATGAGTTGGTTTCTGAATGACTATCCTGATGATCTAGTGTGGCACCCTTTCAGCCTGATAGAGACTGTCCTTTTAGGCTTCCCAGAGCTGTGACACAATCATATTGTTGCATGTCGTGCCCACCTCGTCGTTCTGTTGAGTTTCCTTTCACAGCAGAAGCTGAGCTCTCGGTCCTTTTTGGAGGAATGTAGCTGGTGCCTTAATCCTGATGTGAGATGAATTCCCATGGACTGTCTCCAGTTTGACTCAGAGATACTGTGTTGGGTCGTTTTTGAGCAGAAGTCTGGCAGTCTTGTTTTAGGAGTCATAAGCTCTGCGAAAAAGCTAAAAGTGATGTCTTGCTCCTTCCCTCTCTTCAATCACAAAGGAATCATCAGTGGCCAGATAATTCCAGTTTTATAGTAACTGTGCAACAGGCTGCCTAGTTAGAGCTGAATGGGAACACGGGGTTTAATTTAGGGCTTGGATTTTAGGTTTGTATTTAGCATTTCAAATATATTTTCACATCCTTATTGTACAACTTCTGCAGTCCCTAAGCAATGCGGGCTGAACTGGAACCTTGGCTGAAAAAGTCCCCAGAGGTTTTGGAGTATTTGAAGTCTGGATCCTGACCCGACTCCAAAGAGCTGCTGCTCGGACCAGTTTCTAGTTTAAATGCTTTGGAGGCTACGGGTGGGATTTTCAAAGAAATCCGAGGGTGCTGAGCAGTCATCTCCCTTAGGCTTTTCAAAAATGAGTCTGTACACTTTAATTTCTTCTGAGTTTTCCCCTGACTTCATCTAGAAGAGGAACCCACCCTCTAGGTTCCTCTTAATTACCTTCCTTAAGGTTAGGGTAAATGAACACTGAATGGATGCTTGTGGTTCTTCCAGGGTTTTTTTTTGCCTGACCTTCAGCTAAAGTCCTCACTGTGCTGTGATTTCCATGTCTATTTGAGAGGGATAACAGTTCTGGGTGCCTGCAGGAGCCTGCGACTGGACTTGACTGAAGGAAGTTGCTTTTGGGCCTTGGGAAAGAGATTAATCTCTACTGTGATCTTCATAGAACAGCCCCACTACATTTTACCTGATATCCAGAGATTCTTCTGTACCTGCAGGACTTTATAAAAGCCCACAAGCTAACTCTCATTCCTTCACAGAGGATCCTTCCAGGATTTTTTTTTCCTGTCGTTTCTGTCCCGTGCTAGCTCATTTCCCACTTGGTGTTTGCATTCCT